TTTATTTGTCGAGTTTATCGTGCTTCTCTATAAAAAAATGATAGATTTATTACTATATTGGCTTCATATTAGACGTGTTATTCTTGCAGGCATCCTAGTAACACTTGTGATTGGTGTCAAATTAACACTACATGCACTTCAATTATTCTTGTTTCTCATCATCTATGCATTTTGTTTATTTCTGCATGAAGTGTATCTCACACCTTGCACTTTGAGTTACAAGAATCTGTGTTTTATATTATTTAGAAAAATGTGAGACGGAGAAAGTTATCATTAAGAAATGTATTATATGTGCACATTGAAATCTATAAATAGACATCATAGCTAGCTTAGTGTAGTGCAAGAGTCACTGAGTTTTATGCCTTAAGTTGCAAAGATGTTTTCAAATGTGACAGGACTCCTAAACAAGGGTCACAAGATAAGAGGGACAGTGGTGTTGATGCGTAAGAATGTGTTGGACTTCAATACAATTGTGAGTATTGGTGGTGGAAACATCCATGGTGTCATCGACTCCGGCATCAATGTCATTGGTTCAACTCTTGATGGCCTTACTGCCTTCTTAGGCCGCAGTGTCTCCCTCCAGCTGATCAGTGCTACCAAGTCTGATGGTTAGTTCATTCATTTCTTCTTATTAGCATAGCCGTCTCAAGTTATTTTTGGAGGTTCTGCGTAGGTTAGTCGCAGTTTAATTATGACAAAATAAATATACTCACTAAATGAATGAGTTTAATGATATGTACGTAGCGAATGGAAAAGGAAAAGTTGGAAAGGATACATTTCTGGAAGGTGTTCTTGCTTCATTACCAACCTTGGGAGCTGGTGAATCTGCATTCAATATTCATTTTGAATGGGATGATGAAATGGGAATTCCAGGTGCATTTTACATTAAAAACTATATGCAAGTTGAATTCTTCCTCAAGAGTTTAACTCTAGAAGATGTTCCAAATCACGGAACCATTCGCTTCGTATGCAACTCTTGGGTTTACAATTCGAAACTCTACAAAAGTCCTCGCATTTTCTTCGCCAACAAGGTACTTTATTTACATCTATATGTTAGTTTATGTTTTGTATCACGGCATGTTTGTCAGAATCACGATGAATCATTATGATTTTACTTGATTGTTATCTTGCAGTCGTATCTTCCGAGTCAAACACCGTCTCCACTTGTCAAGTATAGAGAAGAAGAATTGCAAATTCTAAGAGGAGATGGAACTGGAGAGCGCAAGTTACATGAAAGGATCTACGATTACGATGTCTATAACGATTTAGGCAATCCAGATCACGGCGAACATCTTGCTCGACCTATCCTTGGAGGGTCTAGCACACATCCCTATCCTCGTAGGGGTAGGACCGGTCGATATCCAACGAGGAAAGGTTAGATACAAGATTATGGTACAAGTAATGATAAAAATGAGATAACCTAACATTAAGCTATTGTGTTCTTTTGAACAGATCCAAATAGCGAGAAACCAGCAACAGAAATATATGTTCCAAGAGATGAAAATTTTGGACACTTGAAGTCTTCTGACTTTCTTGCATATGGAATAAAATCTTTATCTCAATGTGTAGTACCCGCATTTGAATCTGCATTTGATTTGAATTTTACGCCTAACGAGTTTGACAGTTTTCAAGACGTGCGCGACCTCTTTGAAGGCGGAATTAAGCTTCCTCTAGATGTGATTAGCACGATTAGTCCTTTACCTGTGATCAAAGAAATCTTCCGTACCGATGGTGAACAAGTCCTCAAGTTTACACCACCTCATGTCATTCGAGGTCCGACAAATACATATTATAACATAAATTATACTACGCTAGAGTAGTTTCGTTTGATTATGATTTTCTTTCTTGTTTTTCACAGTGAGTAAGTCTGCGTGGATGACCGATGAAGAATTTGCACGAGAAATGCTCGCTGGTGTAAATCCATGCATGATCCGCGGTCTTCAAGTAAGTTCAAGAATTTTTTTTAATATATTGGAGAAATTCGTGCTATTCGCATTAAATAATTGCCTATCTAATTGTAGGAGTTTCCTCCGAAAAGCAATCTAGATCCCGCAGAATACGGTGATCACACTAGTAAGATATCTGCAGATGTCTTGAACCTTGATGGTTGCACCATAGATGAGGTAAACACATATTAATCTTAATTAAAAAAAAATGATTTTGGACTTAATTTGGTGACATGAAGTGATTAAGATTAATTTTTGTATGGAACAGGCACTTGCTAGTAGGAGATTATTTATACTAGATTACCATGACACATTTATTCCATTTCTGAGAAGGATCAATGAGACTTCTGCAAAAGCTTATGCTACGAGAACAATCCTTTTTCTAAAAGAAAATGGAACTTTAAAGCCAGTGGCCATTGAACTAAGTTTGCCGCATCCTGACGGTGACAAATCGGGTTTTGTTAGTAAGGTTATCTTACCTGCAGATGAAGGTGTTGAAAGTACTATTTGGTTACTAGCAAAAGCTTATGTGGTGGTTAATGATTCTTGCTATCATCAACTCATGAGCCATTGGTAAAATATCGTAATGTTTATATTTTCACGCGTGTGCGCTCTAAAATATCTGATAGGTTTGAACTTTGAATCTAGATATTACTGACTGATGATTTTTTTATACGTTTATTGGTATAGGTTGAATACTCATGCGGTAATTGAGCCGTTCGTTATAGCAACAAATCGGCAGCTTAGTGTGGTGCATCCGATTAATAAACTTTTAGCTCCTCATTATCGCGACACGATGAACATCAATGCACTTGCAAGAGATTCTCTGATTAATGCTGATGGCATAATAGAGAGAAGCTTTTTGCCTTCGAAGTATGCTGTGGAAATGTCTTCGGCGGTTTACAAGTATTGGGTTTTCACAGATCAAGCTCTGCCAAATGATCTTATCAAAAGGTAATAGAATGATCATACGAATTCTATATTTAAGGACGGAGATAGTAACATGTATATGCGTTTTGCTTGATTCAGAAATGTGGCAGTTAAGGATTCGTCGGCTCCATATGGACTCCGTCTTCTGATAGAGGACTACCCGTACGCTGTTGACGGATTAGAGATATGGACGGCTATCAAAACATGGGTCCAAGATTATGTCTCGCTGTATTACGCGACAGACAATGATATCAAAAATGATTCCGAGCTTCAAAATTGGTGGAAAGAGGTTGTAGAGAAAGGTCACGGCGATTTGAAAGATAAGCCATGGTGGCCTAAGTTGCAAACATTTGACGAGCTTGTTGAAGTTTGCACTATCATCATATGGACGGCTTCTGCTCTCCACGCAGCTGTTAATTTTGGACAATATCCTTACGGCGGTCTCATTCTAAACCGTCCAACTCTGAGTAGAAGATTGCTTCCTGAGGAAGGAACTGCGGAATACGATGAAATGGTGAAGAGTTCTCAAAAGGCTTACTTGAGAACAATCACGCCGAAGTTTCAGACTCTTATTGATCTTTCAGTGATAGAAATATTGTCAAGACATGCTTCCGATGAAGTCTATCTCGGACAAAGGGAAAATCCACACTGGACATCTGATTCTAAAGCTATACAAGCATTTCAAAAGTTTGGAAATAAATTGGCGGAAATCGAGGCCAAACTTACGAATAAGAACAATGATCCGAGCCTGTACCATAGGGTCGGGCCGGTTCAATTGCCATACACTTTGCTTCATCCCAGCAGTAAGGAAGGGTTAACCTTTAGAGGAATTCCCAATAGTATCTCTATCTAAGAAAACTTGTGGTTTGTTTTACTGTATGTTTGTGTGCATGTTTCAATAAAGAGATGCTCCAAATAACAAATTCCGCATCTCATCGATGTTAAAATTATCAAGTGTATGCATTTTCTTCTCTATTTTTGGTGCATGTGTATGTTAAAATATATGTAATGCAAACTTATTTAAGTTTACAAATAATAAGAGCACTGTTAATTTGTGTGCTTAACTCTATCGTGTCCTAAATTTTTCATTACTATGTTGTTATCAGAACACAAAGTAAGCGAAGCAAACTACATTTCCACCAAAGTAACTAAATTCTTAACATGCAACCAAACTACAGAATTATTTTTCAGCATAACAATCCAATTAAACTGTCTACAATCATCAAGAGATGTTAGAAAGCAGCATGCAGCAAATCAAATGTGTTACTTGCAATAGAAGTTATAACAGCAAATGAAACTTTCTTTGTTCTATCATGAGATAAGTGGCCAAATCTCATGCGCCAGAGAATGAACACCAGTTACTATGCAAATCTTACCATTGGCATGACCTCCGTGTTTAGGCTGAAATCCCCTACCTCGACCTTGAACCGAAATACAACAGGTATAAATCTCCCGAATTCATGAGCATTACAAGTACAACAGTTGCTATGATGCAGTGATCTAATATTCTCTAATTCTTCTCAAAGGACCTTCAGTTCTGTAAAATAGTAGTGATAGAACTAGTGTATGCAAGTTTATTTCAATGGCAATCTAATATCATGGTATGCTTGAATAACTGATGCTGACTTGTCAGCATTATCGGTAAATAGAATACTAAATATTTTTTCGTATTATCATTGTATGTCATTTTGGTGGCTTCCGCCTCTGGCTTTGTTCGTTGTAGATTGACAAGAAAAAATTACTGTGATTGATTTTTGCATAAATGGTTTCTGTGTTGCACCGTAATGACAAGATGTAAGAGTCTCTTCCTTGTATGGGATTATGTCTTTCTGAATTCTGTTTATTTTTCATTGATTTCATGCTAATTTTTTCCCTATCACAATTCTGAAGTGAACTAGAAAGTATTAGTAGAAAGGCAATGTAAAATTTTACAAACATAGTTATTTTTATTATTTAAAAACACTTCATTACAAACTCAGATACATTTATTAATGCTCAACATGAAAGCACTCAAATGCAAACACAAACTGATGAGGCAGGTAGGTGAAGGATTATAGACCCCTTCTTCTTCTGCATCTTTTATTCATAGGTAAAATATATATAACTAAGGAACCATAGATCTCTTCAGATAGAGATACTATTAGGAATTCCTCTAAAAGTTAATCCTTCTTTACTCGAAGGATAAAGCAAAGTATAAGGCATCTCAACCGGTCCATGGCGATTTATTAGCTTCTCGTCATTGTTTCTCTGAGTGAGTTTCTTCTCGACTTCAGCCAACTTGTTTCCAAACTTCTTAAAAGCCTCTAATGCCCTTTTATCCGATGTCCAATTCGGATTGTCTCTCTCTCCAAGGTACAATTCATCGGAAGCATGCCTCGACAATATTTCTATAACAGAAAGATCAATAAGAGTCTGAAACTTCGGCGTGATTGTCTTCAAGTAAGCCTTTTGTGGACTTTTGACTAGCTCCTCGAACTCAGCCGAACCTTTCTCAGGCATGAGTCGCCTACTAAGAGTTGGACGGTTTAAGATTAAGCCTCCATAGGGATACTGCCCAAAATTAATAGCTGCGTGAAGAGCTGAAGCAGTCCATATGACAATACTGCAAACTTCAATTAAGTCTTCTCGAGTTTGCATCTTAGGCCACCACGGCTCGTTTTTCTTGTCACCGTGACCAACCTCCACGAGCTCTTTCCACCAAGCTTGAAGCTCAGAATCTTGTCTAAGTTTTTCATCTGAGGTGTAGTACAAGGAGACATAGTCTTGGACCCATGTCTTTATTATAGCCCATATCTCTAATCCATCAACAGCATAAGGATAATCCTCTATCACAAGCTTAACACCACATGGAGAAGATGGATCCTCAATAGCCATCCCTCTAAATTAACAACAATTTCACATTATAATCAACATAGAAAGCTCTTTAAGTTTATGTCTTATGTTTGTGTAAAAAAGTTACCTTTTTATAAGATCGGCAGGCAATGCTTGCTCTGTGAAAACCCAATTCTTGTAAGCTTTAGAAGACATTTCCATAGAATATCTTCCCCACAAAAAAGTTTTCTCGATGATACCACCGTCGTTGACGAGGGATAGTCGAGCGAGAGAGTTTATATTCATTGTATCGCGATAGTGAGGATACAAAAGTTTATAAATCGGGTGAAGACAACTCAGATGCCTGTTAGTTGCTATGACAAACGGTTCAACAACTGCGTGAGTATTCAACCTATTATCATCAAGAGTCACGAATCAATGCATCGATATACATCAAAAGTTATAATTTATATAATTTACCGACAAAATATATACCAATGGCTAACAAGTTGATGATAGCAGGAATCATTCACAATCACATAAGCTTTAGCCAATAACCAAATAGAACTTTCGACACCTTCTAGCGCAGGTTGATAAACATAACTAACAGCACCGTGTTCATCTCCTTGAGGGTGTGGCAAACTCAACTCTATGGCCAGTGGCTTCAAAGTTTGGTTATTGTTCAAGAAAAGGATGGTTCTGGTAGCATAAGCCTTTGTGGAAGTTGAGTTTATTCTCCTTAAATATGGCATAATTGAGTCATGATGATCTAGCAGGAACAATTTCTTGTTTTGAATTGCCTTTACAATAATCAAATACAATTATCATTGTTAATCATAATATTAAAACTAAACAAGCATAGAAAATAATAGAATTCACCAAGCAAAATTGTACCTCTTCTACTGTGAGTCCATCTAAATTAGGCTCTAGGTGTTCTTTGGTTATTTTACTAGTGTGATCACCATAGACTTGACTGTCAAGCTTGCTTCGTGGAGGGAACTCCTGCAACAATCAAACAACGATCCTTCATTAGATCGTCTGTCAGACCAACAATCCGGTTCAAAAGAATAAAGAAACAAGTAACAAAGTTCGGCCAATTGTATCTACATCTACCTGAAGAAGGCATATCACATTTGGATTTACTCCAGCAAGCATTTCTCTTGCGAATTCTTCATCAGTCATCCATCCAGACCTACTCACTGTTCAATCAATAATATAGACTAGTAAAATCATGTTTACATTAAAAAAAAAAAAAACTTTTTGCAGCTTATAGTATAAGTGCTTATCACAATAAGAACTTAACACAGCAATTTTTTAGGTACCATGTTTTTTACTTAACAAGGCAATTTTTCTTAAGGTATGAAAATGAAATACCTTGAATTACTTTAGGTGGTGGATACTTAAGGGTCTGTTCACCATCGGTGCGAAAGATTTCCTTAAGCACGGGTAACGGGCTTATCTGGCTTAGTATATTTGTTGGCAGCTTAATTCCACCCTCATACAACCCATGAACTTCATCAAAGCTATCAAACTCATTTGGTGTGAAATTCAAATCAAAGAACGCAGATTCTAATGCAGGAACCACGTTTTGAGACACAGCTTTCAATCCATAAGTAAGAAAATCCGATGACTTCAAGTGACCAAAAGCTTCATCTCTTGGAAGATACACATAATCACTTCTACTCTCACTATTAGGATCTGCTTAATAGCAATAAAATAGTTGAAATCATATTGTATGATGATAAAAACATTATTCATACTCAATGTAATAGAAGTTATACCTTTTCTAGTTGGTTTTCGACCAGTTCTCCCCCTACGCGGATAAGGATATGTTTCAGACCCTCCAAGAACCGGACGTGCATGGTTTTCACCCGAATCCGGATTTCCTAAATCGTTATAGACATCATAATCATAGATCCTTTCCCATTCTTTGCGCTCTCCCGTTCCATCTCCTCTTAGGTTATTCAATTCTTCTTCTCTATAATGGACTAATGGAGCCGGTGTTTCACTCGGAAGATACGCCTGCAACCAAATTCTTTGATCATCTTTCTCATACCTTAAAGAAATATACAAACATAAACATACATATACCTGATTCGCAAAGAAAATGCGATCGATCTTGTGGTGTTTGGCATTATATATCCAAGAGTTGCATACAAAGTAGATACTTCCATGATTTGGAATGTCATCAAGAGTCAAACTCACAAGAAAAAACTCAGTTTGCATAAAGTTTTTGATATAAAATGCACCAGGAACTCCCATATCATTATCCCATTCAAAGTGAATCCTAAAAGCAGATTGTCCAGCTCCCAAAGTTGGTAATGAAGTAATTATACCTTCCAGAAAAGTAGCTTTTCCCAGCTTCCCTTTCCCACTTGCTACCAAAATACAAACAAAAACAATTAAATACACAATCAAAATCCATTTTCAAAAGCTCAAAAGTTATAGAAACTGTACCATCAGGCTTTGTTGCACTGATCAACTGAAGAGAAATAGAACGGCCTAAGAAAGCAGTGAGGTTATCGACGGTGGAACCGAGAATGTCGAAACCTTGACCGATAACACCACCAACACTGGTTAAGTTGTTTATGTCCAACACATTCTTTCTCATCAACACCACTGTCCCTTTGATTTTGTGGCCTCTATTCAACATTCCAGTCACTCCTGAAAGCATCTTTGCTTGCAACTTGGTAACAGAAACAGTATAATATATGATGATGATGATGATGATGATGATGAGAATTAACTAGTTTGTGAGGATGTGAAACATAGCATAGCAGTATTTATAGAGAAGAAGCACTGGTATAAGAAATGGTAGAATTGATATTTTTTATTAAAAAAAGAATTTACTTATTTCTTACAGTGACCAAAAAAGTTTGTAAAATCTCATGCGTGCATGCAAAAGAACGAAACAGGTAGCCAACCAGTATCCAATCCATATAAGATACTCTGATTTGGGTGAATTAAAATAACTATTTGTTACATCCAAATAATTTTTCAGTTTTATTAATATCACACGATTAAATAATGACTCATCATATTTTTCTTCATAAAAATTATATAATATTTTTCTCTTAAAAAACTAGATAACTTTATTTTACTATTTTTTTAACATCATAAAATAATAAATGATAACATTGTTTAATAAAAAGTATTATAAAATATTAACAACGAATTAAAGTTGCATGACATAAAATCGCATTACTATCAAAATAACTAACGAATGAAACATTCAAATTTAATTAAAGTTATGATTCATTAAAATACTAAATGTTCAAGAGACTAAAATTGTAACAACTAAGTTAATATTCATCTAAATTAATAAAATTGCAATAATAAATGTTTGATTAGTGGGTTAAATGTTAATGAGTTTTTTGGGTTCAGGTTCAGTTTTAACCTAACCCGATTTTTTAATGGAGTTTTTAGTTTTTAGACCCATACCCACTCAATTACTTGACCCAACCCGTTTTTTTGGATATTTTTGAGTGGGTTTGATTGTGTATTTATGGGTTGACCCAATACATGTGCACCCATATTATTATTCACCCTTGTACACTATTCATACAGTTGCACAATTTTCGTCCAATTTTTAATCTCACCATCTACATCATCACTGTCGCCTTGAAAAAAAAATGGTCTGACCCATAATTTCACCGTTGTCAGCTTCACCACATGTCAGCATTCTCTGGCAGCCAAAGATAAACTTCCAAAAAAAAATCTCACATATTGGAGATCGGTGTGTTCTCTCTTTGTTTTGGGTGCTCATACTTCTATTTGAGTAATTTAGTTCGTGGGTCATTTGAAACTCGTTTTTTATTCATTATTTCTTGATTTTTTTTCCATGGTTGACATTAGAGACAAAATGCTAGTTGAAAATAATTTAACCATGATGGCTGATTAGAAGAAATGAGAAGGGACCTATAGGGAGAATAATGGTGGATGGATGTTGTAACACCCTTCTAAATCCCACGGAAAATATATGAATAATCAGAGTAAATAATCATGCATTCACAAAAGGGCGTCACACATAACTTTCAAACATCAAAACCACCTGTCATGCTCATTAACACTTCAATAAATAATCATTTGCATGTAGCAGCGGATTCAATTACATCGCAATCTTCATTAAAGAAACATTTGAATTCACCACATAAATCAACATCATTAGGCATGGGGCCAACATCATGATAATTCGATAAATATAAAAACATAGTATATAGTACATAATGTATCTCTAAATATATAAAGCAAGTGATCTCAGTGTTACATAATCAGAGCATGACTCGACCCAACGACTAGATACATATACAATGTATCACAAAAGAATCCTATACATCCTAGCTAACCGACCAAAAGATGAAGGCACGCTTCAAAAAAAGGACCTTCAACCAACCTACACTGCAATGCCTCATAGAGCATCATAAAACAACAGAAGAGTGAGAAATATTATCATAATAATCAATGCATATAATCATATATATATATATATATATATATATATATATATATATATATATATATATATATATATATATATATATATATATATATATATATATATATATATATATATATATACACACAAAAAAAAAAACATAGAATACACATATTTCACATTTTCCACCCAATTCATCATACACATCACAATGTATATATATAAATAAATATGGAAAATCACCAAGCATATTCATCATGCATACATCTACAATTCACTCATTCCACATAAACATTTACAATTATGTTTATTCATCAATTCACAACTCTCAGTTCAACAATCCATACACATATGCATACTTTTAATACAACAATTATCTATGCCATGAGACTCAATGCAACTCATGCCATGTGGTACCAACACTTGTTGTTATTTTTCGGTTTTTACATTTAAACCGGGTCCGTCCTCTAGACCAATAACAAACAAAAGTCCGTCTTCTAAGCTTTCAAAACCCCTCTCTAGGTTTGGGACAAGTCACTAGTCTCTACGAAACTAACAAGCATTGCCTCTTGACCAAATGATGCGTATGCAATCAACAATCATATGCACTTAAGACCGTTCTCGCATCTTAATCTCATGCATACTCAAATAATTCATCACACAAGAATTATAACATGATTGCACACACAACACATTCCTCAAAGTATTCATACTTTCAATCATCATCATTACATTATCAAGTAATGCACAAGAATCAATTAGATTCAATCACAATCTCCATGCACTTTAATCAATTAAACAATGCATATAATTGCCAAACAGCCACAATTCACAATTGATTCCATAATCTAGGATTCACGTCATACGGCTACCCATAGTATAACATATCACAGCATACAACTATGCCTTAAGAGAAAGGGCTAATCAATTCGAATCGAAGAATCGACATTGGATAGAAACAGCAAGAAAATCAAACACTGTCACGCTTGCTGGACCACTCGCCTAGCGAGGTCATAGCGAACGCTCGTTGCTGGTTCGCCTAGCGAACAAGCTCGCGAAGGCAAACAGAAGCTACTAGAAGGATTCGCTACTAGATCGTTGGAGCCTCGCCTAGCGAATAACTCGCTACATCACTCGCTACTAGCGAAAAGGATCATTCCCATTCTGCCCAAGACTGGGGACGTTCGCTGGCAGCTCGCTTAGCGAACACTCGCCACCCTGCTCGCCTAGCGATCGTGCTGGCGAGTGTCTGCGTACTCAAAACCCCAACTGTCCAAAAACCTCAAAAACTCCCAAAATCACCCGATTTAATTCCAACAAGTTCCAGTAGTCTTAGCCTAACATTCCTCGACTAAACTACACCATTAATTCCGGATTCTAACCGTTAAATCATCGATTTCTACCGATTAAACCATTTCTGACCTAGAATGGAAAAGATGGAAAACATCCAAACAATCCAACAAAAGCATACATAATCACACACATTGAGAAGATAATAAGATTTCACACCCTTACCCGATTAAATCGACTCCTAAGGGTTGATCTTGATGAATCCAAGCTTTTCCTCTATTTTCCTTCTCTTTTCTCTTCTTCCTCTTTCTTTCTCTCCTTTTCTTCTTTTCTTTCTATTCTTTCTTTTCTCCCCTCTTTCTCTTATATCTCTTTCTATTCTATTCCTCTCCATCATATTTTCTTCTCTCAAAATATCTACCCATTCATTTAAATTAAAGAAATCACATAAATAAATTAATTAACATAAATAATTACTTATTAAAAATTGGGTTGTTACAGATGTGGTGTATTTATTACAACAAGTATTGACATACTCGGAAAAAAATGATAGAAATTAAATGGAAGGCCTCCTGATAGAGAATAGGGACAAGAGAGAGACGTATCAAGAAAGAGAAGACATACACATATGGCTGATAATACTACTAGAGGCAATCTAAAAGGAGGGGTGCAACTTAACCCAAGTGAAGTAGAAAAGGTAATATCTCTTCTCAATAAGTTGGATAAACCAACAAGTACTTGTTCTCTAACACATCTAGTTATGTTTCCATTCCCTTTTTTATGTGGCAAATCTACATTTTTGTTAGAACTTAATGCTTCAGATATACCCTTTAAACAATATAAGATACTAGATTCTTGAGCCACTGACCACATGACATCATTACCCGCTGACTTCGTCATTTATTCACCTTACTTTAATAACAGAAAACATCAATTATAGATGATACTCTTATAATTGTAGCACGTCAAAGAATGATCCAAATTAACTCATCCATTACCCCTTCATATTCCAAAAGTGTCTACTTTCCTAGTTTCCATACAAAAAATCACAAAAGATCTATCATGTAATGTTATTTTCAATAATAACTCCTGTGTTTTTCTAAACAAAAATTCGGGAAAGATGACTCAAAGGTCTAGAGAATGGAATGATCTTTACTACTTGGATAACAAAGATGCAAACTCAGATTTTCTCAACAATGATTCTTTTTTTCCAAAATCAATAAAGACCAACATGCAGAAGGATTTCTTATACTATTGTTGTCTGTGCCATCCTTCTTTTAGAGTAATTAAGTAGTTATCTTTTGTTTTATTTAAAACATTAGATGTTTAGAGCCTTCATTATGAGATGTGTAAGCTTACTAAAGACAAACACATACCTTTTTTGTTAGTAATAAAACTAGCATCGTCCATTTTATCTTGTTCATACAAATGTGTGGGGTCCATCTAATATTCCAAATATATTAGGTGTTCATTGGTTCGTAACCAATATTGATGATTGTACTCGTGTTACTCGGATCTACTTACTTAAACAAAAATCAAAAGTTAGTTATGTATTTCCTCGTCTTTTCTCCATGGCTAAAAATTAGTTTGGTATGAGTATTAAGACTATTTTGTATGATGATGTCAAGAATTAATTGGGTCTACCTCTGAAGATGATTTTGAACAAATTAATTTTCTTGTTCATGGAAGATTGCATGTCGATAGACAAAGAATTTATGAGATGTTGGATAATAACATTTGTAACCCTTTTAGTATGAGTATTAAGACTATTTGGTCTGATGATGCGACTTTCCATAAACAAGAAAGTTACTTTGTTCAAACTCATCTTTAGGGGAAGAATATAAGTAAGGAAGATAAGTTCATTCTACTTCTTGACCTAACTCTTAAACCATAAGTTGAGGTTGAAACTAGTAGTAACAATGTTGGAATTGAGCTTGAGTATGAAAAAT